TAGTGCAGGGAGAATGCCTTGGTTCTAATACATCAGTTGCTCTTTTACCATCCATATTTCAACATTGAATGCAGCGCTACTTATGCCACGGAGCTGTCCTTCTCACCAATTTAGAAATAAGCATAAGGGCTGTTGGTGATGACTTTGTTGTGCAAATTCCTGCAGAATTCAAGTATCTAATTTTACCGAAGAGAAGAATTTGAGGTGCTACAAAATACGACACAACGACAGGTTTATTCAACCATCGAGCCATCCCAGTAGAAGTAGGGGCACCAAAAAAGTGGTTAACGTGTTGAAATGGGGTGTGCGCAGTAGGTGGTAAATTGAAAACTGTTTACATATTTGGGCTTCCCAGGATCTGCAATGTTTGTTAGCAGGATGCTGTTCGGTAACAGTTATTATTGATCGGATAACGTGTTGTAATTGTCAACTCCAGTCGTGCTTCCGAAGTAACCCACTTGTCCCCTCCTCCTGATCTAAGACATACGCAAGCGTACCAGAAGTTTTCACTCGAATTCCCAGACGAAAGCGATATCACTGCCTTGAAAAACCAATTATTGCCTACAGCCGACACTTAGTACGAGATCATCGACATGGACACCCAACACGTCCATCTCGTTCTTATTGCGCTTGTAGTACAGACACGTGTTACTAACGCATTGTTTAAATTCTGCTTCAAAAAGTCTTGTTTGCATCAGCTGACCTCATAGTCGGTCTGCCTGCTTGAGCCCGTGCAGACACTTCTTCAGCTCGAGTGCGATATCACTTGCGCTGGACACTCCAATTGCCCTGAGCTGCTCATTCGTAACCTGCATGTCGCTTGGTACGCGCAACAATATCTCTAGGTACTCTTCATTGTCAGCGTTTATATATCACCAAGTTTTGCAGGTAACCCCTATGGCCGCAAGTCCCAGTTTCACCTTCATCGTTGACATGTCCATCACTGCAGCGAAGGTGAGCAAGCATATCAGAATTTCTGGATCACAAAAATTACAAACGCTGTATAATATCACTCGCAAAAAGAAAAAAAGATGATGACTCTGGCTGATCCAGCATTGTCTGCCAAAAGCACCTAACACATGTTAAACCTTTTTCGCATGCATAAAATCACTAGCCAGCACTTCACTTCACTGTGCGATAGTTGGCCAGCAATCTGATAGGCTCTACGGCAGCTTAGCAACGCACATACAGCAGATAGCTTTCCAAGTAGAGTCAACATTGTCCTTTGTAATTTTGCGTAACATTCGTCCTGATTGTTGAATGTCTATTCTGGAAGCTCAGACAAATTTATTTACAGGCCAAAGCGTATTACGCAATTTCACAAGTATACAAATGTTTCGTTTATGTGTCGAAAGGCGTCGCTTGTACACTTCAAGATTCGTTTATTATTATATCACTGCACGTAAATACGGAAGCACCACAATCGCTACCACTTAGAAATTTGCTGCAGCGAAATAGCAAATATTATGATAATCAGCACATCAAGTAACACATCATGCAAGTAGTCATTCGGGCACAACTCGAGTCTTCATACCGTTAACGCTGTCTATAAAAAATGGTTCTTTCTGCATGTGTATACAGTGCAGCTGCAGTATTTTCTCAGCATGAATAGTCATCGTCGTATTATGCAAGATATTTCCCGCTTTTGCAGCGCCTTTGTTTCTTTTATAAGGCTGTATCATCTTCAACCTCTTCTTCAGCATCTCCGTCTTCTTCTTTATCAATTACAACCTCTTCTGTATCGTCTGCGACACTGTACCAAAATCTGTCTTGCGTAAGCGAAGTCAGGAGTTAAACTTTGGCTAGATATCGACTTTGTCGGAGTCTGGTGCTGCAACTTTGGCCGATGTGTTTGTTGCACTAGCTTTAGCGGCGGTGTTACCTGCTACGTCGTCGCCCTTATCCACCAGACCTTGTATGTTTGCATCTGTGTTGGCGAGAATGGCAATTCTGGTCAGTGAGTCATCAATGCAATTATCGTCGTCTTCAGTTTTCTGCAAACTGCAAACATGAGTGTGCGCGAATGTAGTCGACTGGCTCGAATATCGCTCGCAATTTATTGTAGTACGTACGAAAACAAAAGTGATACTCAGGCGCTGCAAATTGGACAGTTTCAGTACATTGTAGACTCTACAATGTGGTAGCTAGTCTTCAGCGTCATCACGCTGCTATCTTTAGGACTAACTTGAAAGAATCTAGCACAACATTCTAGATTTTGACTTGTGATCTAGAAAATATATCAATATGTTGCCAATAAAATAATTTGAGAAGATTTATGTTGGACCTTAATTTGCCAAATTGCACGTTCATCTAAACGTTACATACGAGAGCCAAAGTTAATTTTTGATTATAATTGCTCTGTAACTAAAGCAAATCGACCGCTTTCGTCGCGATGGGTAGCAAGAAATAAAAGACGCTAGCACCAATCTGAATGATGCTTCGGCTGCTCAACAGGGTTGGCGCCGATGAAAACGCAATCTCTTGTCCGTTTACGAAAATTGGCGTCTGGACACTCAAGCATTCAATCGCAAAACGGCTGGATCGAGCATCCCATGAGATGACTGCATGTCTTGCTGCTATTGCACTATCATTACCGATGTGGCAGTTCACATCGCCACCTGGAAGACCCCGGAGATTCTCATAACCCAATACCTTATAAAGCTTGCACCATCTCGTCTCCATGCGTCCTAGAATAATGAACGGCTCAACAAAAAAAAATTGAAAACCGTGACCCTACGACACATGAATCCAGAAAAGTGAGTAACACGGTGCTGATGTTTGCAATTAATTTGTACCTCCAGCTTCGCATATCCTAAAGGCAAGGTATGTGAGACTCCATCCTGGTGCTTTAATTCGGCACTCATTATAGCTTGTTGATATATTGGCTGCGCTAGTAAACGGCTTGCTTCCCGCTCCCAGGCAGCCGTGCTATAGCTCTCATGACTTGTTAACGTGGCATGTTCCACGCGCACGTGAAAGGAGAGAATCCTATTCGAGCTGAAACGCGCAGGGCAATCTACGCAAGCAAATACTAGTCGAGGCTGCACAAAGCGCTCACATTCTTGAATAACAGTAAGCACGTCTGTATGAATTGGTGTACTAAAAGAAGCTGTTTCCGATGAATGAGACCTCTGAGACGATCCCAATACACTGTCATTTCGCCCGCTATAGACCACATTTCCCTTCTCGTCAACATACTGATCGTCGCCTCCTTTTGCCTTGTTAAGCATCAGTATTTTCGGAGCATTGCATTTGCGATTCTTACACGTCTGTTTTCTTAACCCCGGTCCTCCATACTTCTTCATGTCGAGACAATGTGGACATTTCATGCAGTCAGGAGCGTTGCAACCATCACACTCTCCGCATCGCACCACACGTGATTTTGCAGACGCAGATCGGGAGCTTAAATCACTGAGAGATAGATTATCGTCCAGTAAGGTATCACTTGCCGGCAACAACAAATCACGCGGAGAATCTATTGGGGCATCGGAGTATCGAAAAGATTCGTCACCCGAGTCGCCATTTCCATGTGGCGCGGTTGACACAGACTCTCCATCACTTTCGATGGAGGAGTAAGCCACGGACCCATCATCATCGACCTCTAAGTCACCATTTATACGGCTTGAGGAGGGTTTAGCACGCTTAGTTTTGCTGCGCTTCCTCTTTCTTGTCGCATATCCCCATATTTTCGGATTTAAGCACTTACGATTCTTACAAGATTGTTTCCGAAGGCCTGGTCCGCCGTATTTCTTCATATCTTGGCAGTGTCCACATTTCATACAATCCTCAGTCAAACACCCAGAGCATTTGCCACAACGACCGATACGTTGGCGTGATCCAGGCGTGCCGTCGCTCCGTCGCCGTTTCTTAGAGGAAACACTGTGAGCTTTGATCACAAGCTGCGAGTCAACGTGATTAGTTGGTGGATCTGGCTGCTCAAGCTTTCCCTGCAATCAATTCCCGTTAGCGTCCAATGAATCAATAACGAACGAAGACGGCATCTACCTGCGCCGGTATATGTCTGCTAGGACGGCTTCGGGACTTTCGACTAAGAACCCGCTTCATTGGGACCATGATTGATGGCTCCATTGCTCTCACAATGCCTTGCTTGTAAAGAGTATCCATGGCAGTCATTTCAATTTCGCTTTTTTGTTGGGTGCACGATGCAACATTTGATATAAAGGCGGCGCATATTCCCTCATTTGAGCTCAGCACAAAAGCCTTCACCACGTTGCAAATTGCACTTATATGATGTGGATGAAACGCTGCACTATTCCATGCCTGACCGCATGAATGAACAAACTGAGTTAAAAAAAGCTGTCGGAGTAATTGATGAACAAACATGGTAAGATTTACCAGCAGTTTCCGCCGCGAGCTGAACACTTCAGGGACAAGAAAGTGCAAAAGTTTTCGCGCGTCAAAATTGTGCGATGAATGGCAAAGCAGCAATCGCTGACGACACCTTATCGAAAGCAGTTGTGGCCAAATTGCTGTGATTTTGTCATTTGTTTGACGATGAACATCAATGACACTTAGTTGACACTGAAGAGATGCAACGATTGAGATATCCTCCATGAACGTTTCGTAGCTTGCAAGCAGAACGTGTGCGAACAGGCTATGGGTTGAAAAGTACTCGTTGCTCAACATCTGCAGAAGATTTTGCCGATCTTTCTTAGTACCCCAATACGGATACTTTCGAATTAAACTCTCAGACGACAGCGCCTTCTCCCATTGAGCGAGGTCAGAGCTAGCAGACACCACGACATACAGTGCCGATGTATGTTGATTTAATGTAATTTGAGCCACAAACGCACTGATCTAGTCACGTTTCCAGTAAGGCATATATTAGTCGTGCATGATGGCTTGAGCACAATACGATCTTACCTGCTCACGCTCATTGTAGCAGTCATCTTGTCCAACAATGAGTCCGTTCGACCCTCGTTTGTACGAAGCAACCAAAAAGTCGAGACCTTTAGGAACACCAACTTGCAAGAATTTTGGCTTCCCTGCCGGGGTCGACTTCGTATTAGAAGCTTTAACCTGCGTCAATAGCGTCTGCCATTCATTTACGCTGATAGGATTTGAGTTTCCAAGCTGGAAAGGATTACAATTCAAATTTGAAGCTACTTCTTGGACTTCGGTGAGGGTCCCTAGGGCGGGTCTCTTATCAGCATGTGATCTGGCAGCAATTAAACATTAGTATCTCTTGCGCTTCCTCTATCTACGCCACCAAAGCTGACCTTTTCCAGTCGTCATCAAAGTCCATAAGAGCTCGCTGATGATCCTGAAACAGCTGTAAGCCAGTGACCCGAGCAAGGTCACAAGCACCAGAAGATCCGCGTTGCGAGTATCCTTTACCCAGCAATTGCGAGCAATACACCTCGAGTTCAGAAACAAGGAACTCATTCAGAGATCGATGGTCTGCCCGCTGTACTCTGTCTTCTCGTGCAAGTTCCGGTTTCAATGTTACATGATGAGACTTATTGTTGTGGTCTGGGGGTTCTGTAACCCCGGCCTCGCCCAGACTTCGGGCTGTGGTGGTCATCGGCGACTGCAGTGGAGATGAATTCATTACAACTGCTTGCATAACATATACTGGTTGAGGATGCCCCTCTCTTTCAAACGAATGATTATACAGGCTCATTCACCTGAAATTGCAACCGGCAGGGGGGGGGAAGCTTCTGACGTTAGGCTGACATCCTTTTTATCATTGTCATCGCTGACACTGTTCGTAGAAAACTGCTCTATTGTTGTAATGCACATACTCTTTAAGGTCCCGAGTTGTCTTCGAACAGGACAAATTAATAAGTAAGCAATCATCACATGTTTGGCTTCGCTTTGTGCTAATAAAATATGGTGCTTACGAGATCTTCGTCAACTCGACCTCACCCTAGCAAATGAACATGATCAAAATCTCAGCTATTGATAGCAAGTTGGCCACAAATTCTGCTAATCAAACAACAAACCTTCCTCTCCTCATGACTCTCAGTGTTTCCAGATCTGAATTCCACCAAAGTCATCAATATCAAAGCTAATAGCATAGGAATCTTGATGGGGTACAAAACAACCTCGACGTTTCACTTTCCTGCCTCAGAGCGTCATCCTTTCGCACATTATCCGGATCCGCAGGCGGTTGCACCAGAAAAGCGTCGCACACAGGTTGGTCCGGCGGCGAGTCGTACGTGCGACCAGTCGGTATATTAGCAAGTGACCTTCCTACCCTGGACCGAGCTCTCTCCAGCTTAATACGCACTTGTTCTGACTCTACATCCCGGCACGCCGTCGAATTTGAGCTCGTCTCCATTGTGTTTGCTCTATTACTTTAGCGCGCAAAACCAATACATTAAGCGCACATCCAGGAACGTGGCCCACATAGAAAAAAAAGAAACTATCGCACCAAAGTTTAGTTATCCTTCTGATATAAAAATGCGTCAAAATTGAGTTAGTAGCGGATGTGCGGTATTAAAAGCTTGATTAAGAATAATTTACAAACTGAATGTCGAGGCATGAAGTACTCATACCGCCTTGTGTATATCTATCACTACTGAAGTCTAAGATTTCGGTATAGATTACCAAGAGTTCCCACCGTACTCAGGGTCAATTTTACTTACCTATTTAATATGCATTATTGGTAGTATTCACCGCCAAAGCCTATTGGTATTCAGTTGACCTAGAATCGACGAGTATGACGAACAAAAAAGCGTAATTATCGCTTTCGTCTGAGATATTTGAATATCGACGACTGAAATTCGAAGTAGAAAGCGGATACGGTCGTGGTAAGTACTCATAAAAAATCTTTTCGTTTGTAACAAACAGTCTTGAACGTTGGGAAAATATGACAAAACAGAAAAAAACCGACATAAACTAACAGTTGATTTCCGCCAGTCTTCGGTGTACTTGGATTCGAACAAGTAAATAACAATTGTCGCGTTATCCTTCATCCCTCGCAGCAGTATGCGCGTCATGGCGGATGAGAATCTTTCTGTACCCCTATATCGAAGCACGCGTTCTAAAGTAACTTGTGGACACTGCGGTCAATGAAACATAGCGACTAGGATGAGCCTCATAAGTTAGGTGTGCTGGTATTTAACATCGACGCCTAGAAAATTGAAGCCATCACAAGTTTTGAAAGTTCGTATATACGTGCGACATGTGACTGCTCGCAGCAGTACTGAGTATGTGGAGGTGTTGTGAGCGTTTATTATTTGCAATACTCTTGATAGAATGGCTCGTTTAGGCGTTGAAGATTGTCAAGATCTTGTTGTAAGATTTGATAACTTTGTCAGTATGGACCGCTTTTTGCTTCAAACTAGAGGCATAAAGCGATGACTTTATAACTAAAACCTGACTGTAACTTCCAATTCGCCTGAAAGCCGTAGGCAATCACATTACGTACTACGCTTCTGGTGAAGCTTCGCGGAATTGCGAATTCCTCCGCTAGAAAGCAGAAGTGAAGTTGACACGAATACAGAGCTGGGATGGTTTTGACGCGGGAGTATAGGATTGTCCAGAAAAGCTGGTAGTAGTATTGCTAATAGTCTTGAGCAATGCCCATATGCCGCATTCGTAACGGGGGATACACGTGCCCTGGTATGAAGGGGTGGGTCTCACAAGATGGCGTGACCATACAAGGATGTGGGTTATACAAGATGGTGTGATCACACAATGGTGTGGCTACACCTTTGCAAGAAGTCAGTACGTGGCTGGATGCCAGTAGGTATGCACTGTAAGCGGGTTTACTATTTAAAAAAAAATAAAGATATAGATATAGGCGGCTTTGCCGCAAATAAAACAAAGAAATGCAGTTTACCTATGAGCGGAAGATTTTATTTGCCTCGGGTTAAGGGTATGGTAACTCCTGGAAAAAGCGGATTGTGATGCGCTACACTCGTACTGGTTCAAAGTATAAATCCTAGGTGACCAACATTAGCTTAGCTTGCTTTAAGCGAAAAAGCTACGGCAGCCCCGCTGCACTTGGTAGCATTTGTAGTCAATCTACACCTAAGTCGTTACGACTGATCCTCTGTGAAGATGGAATAGTTCTCCTATTTGTCTCAGGGCATGCGGGACGGTTATAAAAGGATGATGTATCTGCTTGGCCCTAAGAGCGTGCAATACCTCGCATCGCAAGGACCTGAGGCGATCAGCGCGCGCCAAGAGGCGTTTTCGAGCTACGAAAATGCTCTGCTAGAGCACCTACAGCAGAATTTATCGGTGTCGACGGCACCCATGACGCCACCCCCGACAACAAATGAATCATCCCAGCCCAAGCCGCTCATGGTGAGCCTTAGGAACATTGAGGACAAGGATGGAGATACTCTCCTGCTCCGGAAGATAGAGCTCGAGACGGCTATGGCGTCCGCCATGCTTCCGACCGGGCAACAGCGCGTGGCGCCAGCTATATCCAAGATTGGGAACCGAGCGCGAGAATGGGCACTGACGTGCGGCACTTCGGTCGAAGCAGATTTTTTCTCCTGGACAGAGCTGAAGATACAGCTTTTATGAGTGGTATCGCCAGCTCAACAGACATATCGCGTGCGATCGCATTTCGTGCCGTCCGACAGGGCAAGAGGGAATCGGTATACTTTGTCCAAATGTTGTATACTCTCATTGCCGGTGTGGCAGCAGATCCTCTCCCCGAAGCGGTCTCAGTAACCGTCTATATGACTTCCGCACAGGTGTGGCCAGAATGGAAGTATTCCGTGTGTATCCGTCTTCGTTTGAAGAAGCAGTGGATATGGCGTTGGATGCCGAATTCAACTTTAAGTCAATACGATTTGGTTGGAATGCACTGTCTAGCAGCTCGTCGAGCCGATGGATCTCAGCTATGCTGAGAAAGAGGAGGCAGAGCTCCGAGCTACCGAGGAGCGTTCGATCCCGACGATGTTTTGTACGTGGAGACACCCGCTACATTTGGATTGGCTGTCCCCTGCGCAAGACGCGTCAAGGTTTATCGAACCGACGTCCCGCTTCTTATCAGTATCTGATTCGTCGCGGTGAAACGACAACACTCAGTAGGCGCGGGGCACTTTAATAGGGAGAAACTGAGTTCTGTTGAGTCTCAAAGAGGGAGAGGTCGGCAGAGATCAGCCCGGAAGAGCTCCATGCTCTTGAACATGGAACGTGCATACAAGCCGGGTTTGGTGAAGGCGATCGTGAAGGGCTTAGAGAAGTCATGAAAGATCCTAATCAACCCCCGTGCATCGGACAAATATGCTCAACGTTAAGATGGAAGTTGGTCAGCTGGATGCTGAGGCGCAAAAAGTGCGATTGAGTAACATCGTCGCTGTTCGCTTAGCGACGGGGACATGTGTCACGACGCAGAGGGTTTCCGTGAACGTCGGTGTCGAGTTTCTTCACTTAAATAGCGTGGAATGCTGCTTAGTCTTAAGCTAAGATACAAGGTATGACCACAATTTTCGTATGGTATGGTTGGAACACCATGATCCATGGATCGATTGAATGTCGAAGACCTTGTGCGCTACGCACACGTCTCCTGGTGCAGCTTTGGTAAGTCATGAACCCACCTCTGCTAGGAAGCAAAAACGCTATCGACGCGGGCACTAGACCGGGACGTTCAACATGCTGGAGATCGGGGTATCCGAGTTGTCGAACTCTAAAGGTGTAATGGACAAAAGACCCGAGCATGGATCGCGGGCTGAACGTGGAGTGGTACGTAACCCACAAGGCGCTGCTCCATTCTTGAAGCAGTCGCTGCATGCCACGAGTGGCATGGTCAGACGAGGTCCGAGGCATCGAGGACGAGGCCTCAGTGATGCACGTGGAGTGGCAAAAATCCACTGAGCACTACTCACGTTTCGAAGCAGCAGCTGCATGACTCGTATGGCATTGTCAAGCGAGGTCCGAGACATCCTAGGCAAGGCCTTCAAATGCGCTTGGAGCTGCACGCTATCCACTGGACGAAGACTGCGGAGCTAGCAGCCCTTCATCGGATGTTGTCAATTATATCAGAGCTCCGGTGGAGCTGGAAATGGGCACAATGGACGAAGCTGAGTGCGTGATTACACTGGTCTCGCCGAGACAAAGTCTCTGTGAGGACGAGACAAGAACGCCATATGCTTGCTGCAAGACGCCCGGCGTCCACCCTGACCCCGAATGTGTATACCGTACACGATAACGCACAGATATACATCCATATCAACGGTATATTGGGGGAGGAAGTTGGCGACGTCACCCTTCAGGCTATTCTCGCGGTGGATGCTCTTCTTGAGCTGGACGAGATGTCCTTCGAAGACTTCGGCGGTGCCTTGGAGCAGGCGACTTAGCCGAAGTCGTCATTATACGGCGGATTAAAAGATCAACTCGTCGTCGCTTCTGAATGAAGGCGTCCATGAGGACACCAAGAGGGTGCTAGGCACACAGCGTGGACCTTTGGTCATGAAAAACTCCTCGGACCCGTACAATCATTTGGTGAGGGAATTTCAAGACGTCGTCTCTAAGACCCTCCGTCGGTCCTTCCTCCGGATTGCGGTGTGCATCATCAGGTCGACCTGGTTCCGGAAACCAAATACTGTGTAACACGCCAATGACCCCTGCCCGAGAAGAGGTCATTTATGCATGTCTCCCCATTCAACACCCACGTTTGTGTCCGGAAGCCGAACAGCAAATGGCGTATCGTTCACGCTTACAATAAGCTCAATGTCGCTACCACTCCGACATAGGCGCCGATACCTAGAAAGGATGTTCTCCAGAACAACAGGGTTGGATGTACAAAGTACAGGGCACTCGCCTTGGTCGATGGGTATTACCAATTGCTCATGAGAGCGAGTGATATTCCGCTGACAGCGGAGTATTCCAAGCGGCACGCTCTGGTAGTGGCTGGTGATGGCCCAAGGGCTGTCAAACGCCCCAGCAATATAAATTAGTCGTGTGACGCAATTGTTCAGGCCCCACCGGGCATATGAAAAACATACTTCGTCGATCTTCGTCCACAGTCGTGCGGGGCACGGGAGGACAGATGGGGAAAACCACATCGTTTATTTGAGAGCGGTGCTCGAGTGCATGCGCACGGATAAGCTGTATGCTAATTCCGATAAGTGCATATTCGGCGCGAGAGAAATCCTTTGAACATGATCCTCATTGGGAAGCGTGGCATCCGAGCGGATCCCGCTAAGGTCAGAGGCCATTGTGGACTGGCCGGCTCCATGAATCAAAAGGGCTTGCGCAAGTGGCTTAGTCTCGCTAACTGATTGCACAAGTACAGCGAGAATTATGCAAATTGGCGGCCACTGTCGAATCTTCTTGAAAAGGGAGCGGAATGGTGTTAGGACACCGAGCATCGAAATGCTTTTGACAGCTTCATAGAAAACCTCTTATATGCACCAATACTGGCGTTGCCAGACCTAGATCGTTCTTTCAGTGTCGTCTGTGACGCTTTGAACTTTGCTATGGCTGTGAACAACTGCAAGTATACACCGAGGGGTAAGATCGGGTGATCGCTTTCGAGTCTCACCAGCTCAAGTCTTAAACAAGAAATGACTTGGGATAAAGCATGCGCTTGTTAAGTTCAGGATGCACCTGCTTGGCTCAAGGCCGATTGTGTTTTACACAAATCATGCGTCACTACGCACTGCGACTCAGTCGCCTCACCTCTCGCAGATGATGGCCAGGTGGCTCTCCTTCTTTGCAGATATAGCTTCGAGGTGAGGTAGAAGCCAAGAAAGCAGAATGCTTCGGCTGATGCGTTGTCACGCAGGCCAGATTTTTGCTCATGTCATACGGTGACGTCGTCAGTGACGAATTTGATCCGCGCCGTGTACGCGAGTTATGGAAATGTGTAGCGCTGCTACAAGCTCGAAGAAGCAAGGAGTTTGAAAACCGGACATGAATTTGTCGATGCGATTGCGCGCACAGTTTCACCAATATTCGTTAAATAACAAGTTGCTGTATTATAGCATCGATTCGACGGATACGCCACGAATCGTGGCTCCTCACGATGAGGATGTGAAATACCGTATTCTCTGTGACTCTACTCATTGGTCATTTCGGGTGTGAGAAGCCGTATAGCTCGATGAGCTGCCACTACTGGTGGTCCAATCTGTACAAACGGACAAGCATCTATGTGCGCACGTATGAGACGTGTTAAAGGGTGAAGCCTTCTCCGACTACGGCGGCACCGCTGGCCAGTTTGCCGGTACACATCACTCCATGAGTTTGGATTTTGTGTTGGCCTGCTGAAGGATTCGGCGGGCAATACGGGTATCGTAGTCTTCGTCTACCGTTTGAGCAAAATGGCTCACCTTTTGGCGGTGTCAGACACCATCGACGGTGTCGGTACAGCGACGATGTTTGTGGATCGTGTCTTTTGACAAAATGGCCTCCCATAGTTAGTTATCCCGGACAGAGACCGACGCTTCACTGGGAAGGTCTGGTCCACTATATTAAAAGTGCTGGACACCAAGTTAGATATGTCAACAGCAAACCATCCGCAGACCGATGACCAAACTGAATGCGTGAATCGTGTCGCTGAATATGTCCTTCGCAGTGCTGCACTGTGACTTAGAAGGGCTGGAGCGCCATTTCGTCTGATCCTACGATGACTACAATACGTTGATTACGCAACTAGTGTTCAGGCGGGTAGGATGATTGACAACTGCAGAAAGGTCAATGGCTGGATGATCCCAAAGATTGGATGCAGATTAGATATGAAGGTAGCGTAGACCATAATACACAAATTAGTTCAAACTTCATGCTGCCACTCGAAGAGTTTGCTCTGATCAATGCAGAGCATTCGTCTATCGACTACACGCTGTTCTACGTGAATTAGTTCGTTCATCCTCGCGTCCTACTGACGCCTCCACTTCATGGCTTAGGGGTTGATGTGGATAGAATAGACGGACGGCTAGCTGATGTCAGCGTTTGTAAGGAAGTCGATGACTTCCTGTCGATTAGACTGAGTGTCTTTCGACACGTTCGCGATTCGATGGCTGAACACCCAGAAAGAATATGCAAACGGAATAAGCAGAAGAAATGTGGAACACTTTAAGCCGGAAACCTGGCTTTATTAGATGCAAAAAACCTTTTCATACATGCAATTTCTGCTACCCTTACGACGAAGATCCATCGCCGGTTAATCGGACGTGGTCAAGCGGAGCCTTGCGTATACGCTAAACCTTCCGAAATGAAAGCGCACCCATCTGGTGTTTTATGTGGAATTGCTCAAGTTGTATCGGGGTTCGGTGCAAATGAACACGAAAGCGTTGGTGTCGGAGTGGTGCCTACAGGCGCTCAACCACCCAGAAGCCGGATCAGCAACGAGTTTTGAGCACGGAGTGCATAATGCTCGGCGGAGTCCTATTAGCGACGGATCTTGTTCTTAAGAGCTCAAAGATTATCGCGAGTCACCAGACGTCGATCGACCAAGGCTTCATCATCCGACGCCAACCCTCCAAACGAGAACGGTGGTGTATACAATAAGGTGGAACGTCTAGCGTGTCGACGTCGCTGCCAGGATCAGATCCAGTATCTTGTGAAATGGTGGGATACCCCGACTCCGAGAACTTGCGGGAGTTTGAGCTGACACTTCGGCAATACTGCCTTGACATCGTGGACGCTTATGATCAGAGGTATCATGACATTCCGCGTCGTCGTACGCTTTGCACTTCTCGGTAATAACCAGGGAAGCCGAAGGGCCATGAGCTGCCCTGGTCGTAGACTCAGTGAGAGACCACATAGCTCGCGGAAGCGTGAAAGATTAATTCATACGTCGCAGGGCGACAATACGACGGAAGTCGGCGACGCGCCTTGAGTCTGGCAAGCTCTAATCGAAAATGGCGTTCAACGCGCACGTCCACCTCTTAGTAGCTCCGCAGAAAATTGGACAGCGAGGGAAGTTTATGGCGCCGCTGCCCCCATCGCTCAATTAGCTATGCGTCATCTACAGCGGTTTCGCTGGGGGCGAGCGCCACCTGAATTGTCCACATCGCGGATACGGTAGTACCTCCTCTTTGAGCGTGAAGTCGAGCGCGGTTCGTATCCAACGGGGTATCATGCGGAACCAAGAATCGAGCTCGCGTAGCTTTTTGTTGGTAAAGCTCAGCTTGTGTTGTGGCCGGAAACCCGACCACGTCGACACTCAAGGATCGAGCGATCGCGAACTTCGATTCTGTAGCAGGATCCGCCGAGAGAGAGCCGAGGGGAACACGAGAGTTTAAGACCGACCGTGAATGCGCGCGCATAGCCCTCTACGGGCAGCATCCAACTGCTGTCTGTGTGTCTCGTCGATGTCATTGGTAGTGATACCACTTTCCTCAGAAGATGGGAGATCTGGAAACGGACACGGTATCGCAAGGTTCGAGCAGAGCTCACGTCGCGCCGCTGGCGCACCTCACCCTTCTCTTCGTCCCATGAGTATCCGACTCGTAGTCGACTTCCTCCAAATTTCTGACGAGGTTATCCGTCAGCAGGACGGGCGCGATAGGCGGTGCTTGGCTGCCGAGGGATTAGAATGCGCTTAATCTACAGCCGCGGGCATGCTGTACGAAGTAGCACCGCATGCAGGAGACGAAGAAGGACTCTGCCCGCGGGTGCTCTCGGAATCAATGAATCTGAGTGTCTCTCGTCTCCTAGACACAGGGCTAATTGAGCAGAAAATGCGTGCGGACGGCCCTGGGTTGTAGAGGTAAATTTGACACGTGAGCCTCGTACGAAACGACAGTAAAATGTAAATTGTGAATGTTCACAATTTCATGAGTTGGAGTGTGACACCGTTACACGTACCCTGGTATGAAGGAGTGGGCTACAACCATACATTGAATTCTCAACGCTGTGGTGACGAGTTGGAGCTGGGCAGAAGTTTTACTATTAATCGCGATTATAAGCTGTAGCCAATAATGATAAACTGTTCTGTCATGATGGGACGGTTCAGCCAAGGGGGCTCTACACGGCTGTGAAAAGCATGTCTTTCAAACACGCACAGAGTGACGGGACTTACCTTAAGGTGTGCTTGCTATTCCAGTCGGAAATTACGGATTCAGAAAGAGGTTATTTTTAAGAGAGATACCCAAGAACTTGAGCGAAACTGAGATCGCCGTGTTGGTATGTTTTGTTACCGAAAGAGGAGCTGAGTTCATTATCCGTCATGGGTACATATAACTGACACTTGCAGAGCACGAGGTAGCTGAGTCAAAATGGTTTTTATTTAGTGATATACGAAGTGGTGGTGGGAGATGTGAACGCGGATGCTTCCCTCTTGTAGAAGTTTATCATGAAATCGAACTGATTCTGGACCATGATATCGGATAACACGTCTGTGTCAAAGACGTCGACGTCGTCTACACTTTCTTCCGTGTTATCCGACAGAATATTCGTTCCACCTTGTGATACCGTCGTGAGCCAGCGCTACTCGCTACACAACAGAGAAGTTTTCTTCTTGGTGTTTTTTTTCATGGAATCACGATCAATTGTCTCCCAATGCAGCTGTTTACATATATGGACAAATATTCGTCCGAAATATTTTATACACACATTCGTACGAAGCATTAAGAGTTGAGCGCAGGCATCTATACCAAACGCTCGCGGGCTGAATCGAGTGTAGGCACTTGATGAGCTATTCGCAAAAATGTCAAATGTGCTCTTTAACCGATTTATTGTCTATTCCCAATGCTCTCGTGAGAAACGCGGTCTTTGGGCAGATTCCGCTTGTGTCAAAGTTGGAGAAAATTGGTCAGTGTTACTATCTCAATGAACCACATCATGCCAATTTGGCGACATGATGCCGTCTTCCACCAAACTTTGTATGAAATAAGTCAGCTGCAGTGCGGATGCAGCAGAAGCGACGGCCTTCAAAATGTCATTTTAAACCTAATGTTCGGGAATACAAAATCAAATCATCCATTATACTTTATTCGTGACACTTTCACCTTTACTATAAATTGCGATTAACGTCAAGGGGGTGTAGTGCACATGTACATCATCAGCTTATAGATTATGAGCATATGATTTTATCAATCTCAAATAATCTTCAAGCTGACGACATTAAAAACAATGACACAACATTGCACATTGACATCGATTGCTAATGCAACTCATAACCCAGCGCTATGAATTTATATATCTTTTCCTTTCCTTTCGTGTATGCAGAACTTTTCTTATACCATGGCTATCAGCTTAGCATCGCGATTTTGAGTTACGATCTTTAGTCTCGCTGAAATGAAATCTTCTGCTAAGCTGCGACGTATAAACAGGCTAATGTAAGCAAGTCAATCAGTATCAACAGCTTCCCCCACTAAGACCGGACCCATGCATGCATAACTTAGCAATAACAACATTGTGATGAGGTGTGTACTACAATATTTTACGAAGCTATAGCGAGTAAAAGTGTTTTAGTCGCCACACGCAGCTCATAATCCCTCACCGCTCAGCTTACGCGTTTCGCCTGACAGGCGGTGCGGGCATGATTATATGCGGACATATGTCTGACACATGCAAGTCATACTGGCGTCGAACTTCAACAAGAAACAGCTTGCCTGGATACTCACCAAAAATATGATAACGTGTAGCTGGCAGCAGTGAGACGAAGCTTCTTGCTAATTTACACTTATTGACCATGATGCCGGCATTATTAACCGCATTAATTGAAAAAAGTAGAAAACGGTCATGCTTACCAACTGTTAGCGTCACGCTGGATGTAGCACTTATTATAGGTGCTGAAAACTTTACCCATCAGAATGTTTTACACATGCGCACAGAAGTGCTTATCCACTTGCGCGTATTTAAATATCAGAACACTGTGCTCACGAGCCATACGTCGTCCCTCTCGTGATGTTATAAGATGATATGGAAATTCAATGCGCCACATTATACGTTTGTTATTGAGTTCTTTATCCTGGTTTATCACCATGCGACGAAGCGGTAAACAAAAGGGCGTCTTTTCAATACTTAGACAAATCAACATTCATACCCAATAATATCCGTCACTCCAAGCAATCAACAGCGCAATACATGTTATGGTTGACTCTTGCGCGGCACCTTCAAGCGCTGTCGCGCCGTCACCAGTGTCACATCTACCGGGCATCAAGGAAGAATTTTGCAACCACATCGACCAAACGTACAAATATATTACTATTAATGTATACCCGATGACGAAGAAGGATCGCATCGCTATTTTTTTTGGGGAGGTAGGGCGACGATATAGATATGTGTAACGAGCCTACAACCAGTACGGATCGTACATGCCTTCGGGTCGAGGGTTTGTAAGTTGCCCGTAAGACCAAGCTTCTCACTGAAGCATATAGAAGAACTTTGTCGACGCCCAAGAAATATATTTTTTCAGCGGAGCTCAGCTCAAAATGGTTCAATACAAATATCTGCATCGAAGAATTTGTGCTCTGCACTAAGCTGGACTTATGCGCGATGTGGCATAAGCAGTTTTCTTATAAGAAAATTGAACGTCGCTGGTGCGTTGTACAAAACATGGCATGACCACAGCCTCCTTCTGCAGCGATAAAACATTTGATCCGCGCGAGTAGCTGAAAATATCCATTGACCAGGAAAAGCGCGATACATAAGATGGAAATCCATTCCAAAAGAATTTTTCTTGATTGTGACCAAATTTGGCAAGTGACAAGCGCACGTGTCGTTACTCTACGTAATCCTTCCTATTGCGGATAGCAAATACCGCTCCAGAATATTATATTATCAATTTCGGGGTGTGCTCGGCATGAAAGTAAGTGTTTACGACGTAGCAGTGTTCATCTAGTAAGCTGACGTACGTATATTTATTCCGACAACCAGATTGATCTCGTGACGCACTTCTCGGTCCAGGGGCAACACGCTTGGTGGGTCTTTTTATCTGTATGTCATTAAAATTTTCAACAGTACGGTTGATGCAATTTGCGCACAATGCCTTTTAAGTGGCCTCATTGACGAACCCATCTACGCCAAATAACGAGCTGACGATTTCCTTCGTAACCAATGGGTTAACTCACCGTATCGACAGTTCCAGCTTGATGTTCTCCTGAATTTCAAAAATTGCACACAGATCCTTTGGATATTTTATAAGATACAAGCAATTTTCTGATTGGGTCGTGACGAACGACAAATGCGTCTATGGAAAACTCTGCTTGTCCACCATCGAGGGGGAAATCTAGCTCGCTACGAATAGCTAGTTTCATTATTTCCCACGGCAAAACGTATTTTGATGTTGTTACCTCAGGTGCATCATCAGAACCTGACAGCGATGGACCTACATTTTGACGCCATTGCCTGACCTAATTTACAGCAGCCTGTCTCTACAGCGGTCGTTCAAGAGGCCAAAGTAGCGAGCCGCTTTAATCCATATCATCGGAACTGCTGTAGAGTACGATCTCCTTTGTTCAACTTCTAGGCCCCAACTATGTGTCTGAACTGGGATTTACTCTCTATTCCGCGATATGTATCTGCTTTATGGGTATGGGCAGGGCAAAAATTATTGATTCGGACATGAACTTTTCTGGGCACCGTGACATTTTGAAAACAATTTTCCTTCTCACTTGGGTAGATTGTGGCTCACAGCGCTTCTACAATCAGCTTGCGCAAAAGGCTGCTAGCAATATCGTTGCTTGCAATTCCAACTGCTACACTGACCCTATCACAGTTTCCTTTTCCTCGCCGATGGGTATCTTGCTTTAAGGTAGAAAGGAGCATGCCCCACAAAGAGAGAAAAGCGTGAAGCATGACGTCTTCGTTCTTTCAGTCAATCTATAACACGGTGGTCCCGCCAGGCCATAAGTAGGATATGATCAGATAGTGTATAAAAGTCTAAGACCAAACAGTCTTCTTCGCCACAATATACAACCTAACGATATCACCCATGAATACGATATGTGTACTTGGCATACATAATGCCCTCGCAAAATTTCTATCTTTTCAAGCAGTCGTGTGTCGCACGCAACTGCACGACGCCACTTCATCTATTAGGACTAAACGGCTTGCGAGATCTATTTTTTTGGTCGTTTGGAAAGGATGCAACACAAAATTGATGCGTTTTACACCATACGAAAGGGTGGACATTGCAATTGTCAATGAGCCGCTCCAAGAAGTGCGGGCGCCAAAGAAAGCGCCGCGCCAGCGAAGATGTGAACAATCTCAGCAATAAGAAACGAAAAGATGGTATATCTAGACCAGTAGATCCTGCTGCTCCAACTGTGATTGAGATTGTCCCGGTGGATGATCATCAGAGGGCTGAGAAGACTTTATTGAAAATGCTGGGTGGTATGCCAATTCACACATTCCTGTCCGAATATTTTGAGCAAAAACCGCTGCATGTGCGCAATGCAGTCAAAGGCGCGCTGTTTGATAGTCACCTGTTCTCGCGCCAAAAGATGCTTAGGATCATGGAGAAACAGCCGCATTCCATGAGCTTCGGCAAAGACCTGATGGTTTGCAGATACATCAATTCAAGGCGCGAGAATTTCGAATCAGATCATCATGATAGTAAAGCAACAAGTAGACAGGTTGCCAGCTTATTGGATCAGGGTTATAGCTGCCAATTTTACCAGCCGCAGCGCTACGCAGACGGGCTGTATGAATTAAATGCTGCCATTGAAGAGGTATTTGGTTGTCTGGCAGGTGCTAGCGCATACTTGACACCCGCTAATTCTCAGGCCTTGGCGCCGCATTATGACAATGTAGAGATTTTTGTGCTACAAACACAGGGTCGCAAGAAATGGAAGCTTTATCATCCGCAGGTGGAGTTAGCGGGTGAACACAGCTTGGATTTGACGGTGGATCAGATTGGTGAGCCGTGGATGGAATTGACCATGGAAAAAGGAGATCTGCTATACTTCCCGCGTGGCGTCATACATCAAGCCTGTACCGACGATAATGAATTTTCGACGCACGTGACAATTTCGGTGTACCAGCACAATTCATGGGCAAACTTTCTCGAGGTGGCTCTGCCTCGCATACTTCGTCAAGCGTTTGACTCGGACGTTTCATTTCGTAAAGGTCTTCCTGTTGGCTACTTGCGTTTTATGGGTACTCAATCTTCGTCGGACTCTGAGGACGCTAAGGAGTTTACAGCTATCTGCAAGAAACTAGTTGGTAAACTTGCTGTTTACGTCAGTGATAAAAGTCTGCAGGAAGCCGCTGATGAGGCTGCGATGGATTTGATTGCCAATCGTCTACCGCCGTCGGCGAAGTTGACGAACAAAGCAGATGATCTAGGTCCGAGTCCGCTTGACAGCAATGTCACCATTCGCTTCAAAAATCGCTCACACATCCGCTTATCAATGGGTGAAGACGAAATGAAGGAGGCATATGTTGCCGTTTATTTTTCGTTGTCAAACTGCAGGCGGCATCACATGGGTCTGTGTACATGTGATGGTGAAGATGATTGGAAGGGAAAGGGAGATGAAAACGAGAGGAACAGCGACGATGACGAAAGTGTCGAAAGTGGCAGTGCTAGCGAAAATCAGATTGAGGAGGACAATGACAGTGAAAATATAGGTGGAGCGTTTACTAGCGTACCCTCTCAACCTAAAAGCATTATCTTTCCAGGAGAGATGACACCTGCGCTCATGAAATTGTACGCATCGTCTACCTCGACACGTGGGGCAACAATTGATGAGCTAGCAGAGACTACTGGTGACGAGACTTCGGTCAGTGGAATGCTTTTACGGCTTTGGTCCGAGGGCCTGATCGATGTAATGTTGCAATCGTGACGGACATGCTCCACATAAAAACAATTTCACCTTAAGAGGAAAGCAATAGCTATCTTAGCCTGTCTAATTTTTGAGCTGCTATATCTCATCTCTCATTTTCGTTGTTCAAACACTCGCCGATGTCTCATATCAGCACATCTTTCTGATAACTCCTTATCGAATGCAGTCCATGATGGTCTGACTAATTTCTTCCATTTCCGTGCGCACGGCCATCTATACAATGCAGCACATTAACACCACAATTTGAAGTAAACATCAATAATGTACACATTTTACCTGCAAAATCAAGCTGTCACTCTGTTCGTCCAGTGATATCCTGGACTTTACAAGTGATTTGACGCCACCAACAAATACACCCGATAGTAGCAAAATGTGCGCCCTTGCCTTTGGCTGGGGCACAGCGGTATTCTCACAAGGTTGCATGCCGAGGTTTTCGATGACTGCCGCCACGCCCTCCACCAGAGTCTTGTACTTGAGACCAAAGCTACCCTTAACCTCGGCACTGTCACCAATGCTTTCCCAGGCCGAACGAAAATCATTCACAGAGACTTTTGCCATCAGATCTGACGCGCCGATCTCAAGATTCTCCATTGGGTATTCTTCATCAAAGCCGTCGTCTTCAACCTCACCGGACGAAGGGTTGACCTCATGCACTTTAAACAATAGCTTCAAGAGTGCAAAAGTAACAGCAATAACGCTGTGTAAGTCACTAAGAAGCCGTAAAAAATTTTACAATTAGACGCACCTCAACATTGGCAAGCTGAACAACAGGGTAGACACCATCGCCAGTGAATCGCAAGCAGACATAGCACGAGCCGGTCTTACCATAGGCCAATTTACTGACGGGAATAACCGATTGTACCTGCCAAACGTCTTCCGGCTCCAAGACGAATTCTACTCTTACGTTCGTAAGAAGCTGGTCGCTTACTGTATTAAGCACTTTGAACTGTTGGCAAGAGAAAAACAATGACTTTGGGCACAAAATGACATTTAATGGAAGGACTCGGCCACATACCTGGAGCACCAAATGCTGCGCAAAAACGTGCTTCGTGCAGCTGACGACATATTCCGTTTCAGCCTCAGTAAGCTCAAGACGCTTGGACGAACGAAAAAGCGCACCAAGCTCAGCAAACTCTGGGATCTAATTGGTAACAGAAAGATGTTAGCAGGAAACGATAAAAGTTTCCATGTCGTGGGCATACGGTGTATAGCTCCTTTGCAACGTCTTGCGGTTCAGGTACTGTATCTGCCTGAATCGTCTCGATGTCAGCCTCTGCATCATCAATACTTGATTCGACGACAACCTCGTCAACATCAACATGCGGCAATGCTTCGAAAGTAAGAGGACCATCTGCGAGGCGCAGCTCGTACTGTTCAATAGATTTCTGAAGTGTTGCAACACAAATGGGAAAATCCTCTACAAGTAGCGCACGACTGATTACTTCATCACCGTTCAAAATGGAGAGATACATTGTAGCTCGGTCGCGAACTTCGTCGTCATCATCAAGTTTGCAGCACTGTAGTAGCGACGAAATGCTCACGCGAAGAGAAGCAACGCGAATTGCGAATTGAGCTAGAGCTGAAACAGCCGAAGCGCGCACCGGTGCATTTTCTAGAATAACGCGATTCCGGATAAAGCGAATGTAACGCGCTGGTACTGATGTTGTCGGTCCCTTTTGCCCCAGGACGCGCAGAATCTTAGTCGATAATTGAGTAAATTCACAGTCCTCGATGAACTCACACAGATGTAGCAGTGCACTATCTTTGCACTCTTGAATACGTTCAATTAAGAAAAGAATCGCGTCCGTTATCGTCTTCTTGAAATCAAACCCTCCTTCTTCTCTAAGAAAATTGGCCAAGAAATTAAGCAACACGCGATGCTTTTGAGGATACTTCACGCATAGATTCTTGATGGCCTCCACGACCACGATCTTAAACTCATCTGCAATGTCGCCCATAAAAGTTGATATCTGCTTCATTAAACGGTCAACGCTTGACTCGGCACCTAATCAAAAAAAAAAATCAGAAATAATTTAGTCAGAGCAGCTGTCTTTGTTTTGCAGCAAGAGCAGCGGACCAGTCTTCAAAAGCGTGGTAATGGCTAGCGTAGCAATAGATCTATTCGAGTCAGTAATAAGTGCCTCCATATCCTCATTGCAGCGTGTAACAAGCATCGGTTGCGTCAATGCTACTTGACTGAGAGTCCGCACAGCAGCGAAACGGAGAGTAGGCTTGGAGGAGCTCAGAAACAGTTGAAGTACGACTATTGCTTGTGTCAGGTCACGCGAGTCAACTGGCAGTGTACACAGTGCCCTGGCAGCTTCATAGAGAACCATCTATTGCTCCACACATAGATGGCATGGAAGTAGCGTCAAAGCAGGGAATTTCGACTACAAGAAGCATGCACGACTGCGTACCTCATTTTTATGATAGAGCATCTTCTGCAAAAACGAATAAAGCGGAGCGGGATCCTGGCCACCTGCGTTGTCTCGCAGTAGCGTCGTCGTATAACGGATCAGTAAGCACGTAGCAAGATTCGAGCGGAGACTGGTCTTCTGGAGCTGTGTAATAAACTTTGACACTGCAAGCTTGTCATGCTGTCGGATGTGATACAGCAGCGAGACACCGTGATACTGAACCATATCATTTGTAGAGTTAACGGCCTCCTGCACTTCGTTCACCCAGCGACGCACAATCTCCGAGTTGTTTTTGATTAAATGAATACCCGCCACCAGAGCCGAACTAGCTACAAGAGCATTACGATCAACTATTGCTTGCTTAATGTAGCGCTCAATAGCGTTCAACATGGAGCCCTAGCAGCACGAATAAAAGTATATTGTTTGTGATTAGTTGATACATCATTAGGATTTAACTGCTTAAGCGTACATCAATGATACGGCAAAGCACTCGGATAGCATTTGCACGGTATAAATCCACGTCTGAGCTCATGTCCTTAGTCAGACTTTGTGTCACAATGATCACCTGGTCACAAAACATTGAGGTCAGTGACACTGATTCGTAGCTTCCATCACATCGCATATCCGCTATATATATTGATGAGTACCTCGTCAGCGGCAGTGGCCTCGGCCACCTCCTTGATGAATAGGTACATCATACGGCGTAGATTGGCATCTTTGGACTGAAAAAGCTTTGTGACGCCAAAGAAGACGGCAGTCGTCTCAGCACTCGTGAAGGGCTCACCTTGAGTTAATATATGAAGCAGCTTTGTAATCAGCTGGCAACATTTCTTTGGATGCCGAGTCACGGTGTTGGCGTCCGAAAAGATTTTGGTCTCCTGTAAGACTGTGGCCTTGTCTAGACCCTGAAAAGGTGAAACTGAAGATATATTGCAACGAGGGAAGTATTGTTAAAATGCTTTCAACGATGCAACAAGGAATGCGCCAACAGAAGATATAAGCAAAAAACTATATCTTTTCACCGGATCATACCTTGCTCCTCCTCGTCGTTTTTGAACTTCTCCTTGATGTCTGCCATGACAGAAGAGATTGAAATAGCCGATGCACTGCGAGCGGAATCGCTTCCGGCGCCATACGTGTCCTGGCTCGCCCCCAGTTTCATGGTCGATAGATCTATCTGCGCCGCGTGGCTTTAAGTGGAATTTCCGATCTCTCTTTTTGGCGTCAATTTTTTGTCGATTATTGGAAAATTTTGAGACGCTTACTGTACAGACAAGAGAAGAGTAAAAACTAATCCAAAATGTCAAATCACTATTCCACCAATCAAAGATCTTAAAGCGAGCTAAAAGCAAAAAAATGTCATCAAATTAGGCGATGCGCGGGAAAACGGCACCGTGAATAAACATCACATTAGTCATTTCCCAATTTGACTTGTGCAGTTAATTTGAATTGAACCTTACGTACAACAATGGCAAAAACTCCGTCTAAGAAGGCTGCAAAAACAGTTGCCAAGTCTGGAAAAGGCAAGGGCAAAAAGCGTGTAGAGTCGTATTCGACCTACATTTACAAAGTGCTACGTCAGGTCCACCCTGACACAGGTATTAGCAAGCGTGGTATGTCAATTATGAACTCGTTCATAAACGATATTTTTGAGCGAATTGCTTCGGAAGCCGGAAAGCTTTCGCGCTACAACAAGAAATCCACACTTTCAAGTCGTGAGATCCAGACTGCTGTACGTCTTATGCTTCCTGGAGAGCTAGCAAAGCACGCTGTTTCTGAAGGCACGAAGGCAGTGACAAAGTTCACTTCGGCTTAACTTAAAGTCGTATATGTGTTCATTGCCATCTCGATCTCCATTTCCATCCAATGGTGTTTTTCAACACCACCCATCAGAAGAAATTTGAGCTATTTAGATACCGTTCTGCGCTGAATATAATTCAAATGTATTTCTTTCGACTCTTTCTAAAACTGAGAAGCACACTTGTTTCTAAGTAAAACGTGTGGTAATCAAGGAGATTGTAGAAGAGCTTGCTGAATGCGGTTGTTCATCCTTGTAAGTGGTCCATGGTTCTGCCGATAAAAGATTTGAAATCGTTTTTGACTGTCATCGTTATCGCCCGCAAGTTTTGCATTCAATTATTCAAGGCGATAATTTTCAGCATTATGGCTGCTGCGACATATAATTTCTAAGCGCAACAACTACGTTGAGAGGTATATTATATAGAAAACAGCAATGGTGCTTTGACATAACGCTATCTCACGGTTCCAACAAGTACAATTCGCGGTCTGTGGATGCCACAAACTCCCAAAAGCCTTATTCATGATAAATAGAATTAATTTACTCTTGCAATATCATAGCAAACAATTACACACGCAATACTAGATTTAATTTGTTGTTTGATGATCTAGTGCGAAAGTTTAGTTAGATATTTCTTTCAGAAGGGTGGTGTTAAGAAACACCAAGGGATATGATTATATGCGAATTGTTCACTAAACAATTTACATTTTCAGGTCTTACGAGCGTTCACCACGGATGCGACGAGCCAACTGAATGTCTTTCGGCATAATAGTGACACGCTTGGCGTGAATCGCACAAAGATTAGTGTCTTCGAAAAGACCGACAAGATATGCTTCAGCAGCTTCTTGGAGTGCAAGAACTGCAGACCCCTGGAAGCGTAGGTCAGTCTTGAAGTCCTGAGCGATTTCACGGACAAGTCGTTGGAACGGAAGCTTACGGATCAAAAGCTCTGTCGACTTCTGGTAGCGACGAATTTCACGAAGAGCAACAGTACCAGGGCGGTAGCGGTGAGGTTTCTTGACACCGCCAGTTGCAGGAGCAGATTTGCGGGCTGCTTTAGTAGCAAGCTGTTTACGAGGAGCTTTACCTCCAGTTGATTTACGTGCCGTTTGTTTGGTACGTGCCATAGTAGCTAATTTCTTCGAGGTGAGAACTTGAATGAGTTTTCAATAGTGAGAGAAGTTTATTTTTTTTTCCTTTTTGTAAGGTTCCACCAATCGTATACGCTATTAGACAAATGATAATTGATCCTCCAATGGTTATGTCTTAATCGAAATATATTCACTAAAATGGAATTTGCGGTGGTTAGGTTTCCTGCGACTCAAACTTTTTACGAAATAGGACTCTCTGTTGACTCAAATGCGCGAATTAAAACATCATTATTCAATTTTCGTTGTCGGAATAACAACTTTCTACAGTTGAAAAAAACTTAGCAACTAAAATGTCCGGACGTGGTAAAGGAGGCAAGGGACTCGGTAAGGGTGGTGCTAAGCGTCACCGTAAAGTTCTTCGTGATAATATCCAGGGCATCACCAAGCCCGCTATTCGTCGACTAGCTCGTCGTGGTGGTGTCAAGCGTATTTCTGGACTTATTTACGAGGAGACTCGTGGTGTTCTCAAAGTGTTCCTCGAAAATGTCATTCGTGACTCTGTTACCTACACTGAGCATGCACGTCGCAAAACTGTAACGGCTATGGATGTTGTGTATGCTTTGAAGCGTCAAGGTCGCACCTTGTATGGTTTTGGTGGATAGTTGGATTGTTTCCATTGTTTGGATATGATCTCCCGATTATCTACTTTCAAGACTGTTTAGCCTTGTTGCTCGAGCGAAATACTCAGCGATATTCAACTGGTGTTTTTTAACACCACCCTTGTTAAAAGAAGTATTATTTAGCAAAATTTAGGTATTATATTCTTAGCTCGCAAGCCTATAACTCACAAAATTCCCGTTCGATGTAATTTGATATATTGTGATCGTTTTCTAAACCTTGGTATAACTTTAAAGATAAAGAAAATGGTGAGAGTTGTCAATCCCTATTACAAGTTAATTGCATTCCAATATGCTGCGTAGGAAATAAAGTTCTTCATCAGAGCATACATTTCCAGCAATGGGTACCGCGACGTTCGGGAGTAGATCTGCATTACGACTCCTTAGAGCTCCAATTCGTCGCAAATGTGCT